CTGTGCATGGGGTCGCTATGAGTCGGAAACGACTTGACGGCACTTAACAACAACAACAACAACATCCAGCACCAGTTATTTTCGGTTCTTCACCACCAAGCCTAAAATGCTATAGCCATAAACTTAGGCAATAGCAAGACTCATGGTTCCCCAGTCTAGGAATTTCTCAGCCTGGTAAACTTATAACTTCTTGGCACTGACCAAGGGAAGCCACGTTTTGTTTTGCCAAACAAGAGCGTTTAAAAAACAGTACATTAGATAAACGTGACTTCTTGAATAATCGCCGTATGCTGTCTTCACTCTTCTCTGCAACACGCACTCATTGCCCATGCCCCAGGCCCCAAGCTGCGGACCACATGATGCCCACTGCCGCCGTGGCCTCAGGTCACACTCACTGAGGACAGGGACAACAGGCCAATGACAGCACTTACATTTCCACAGATTGCTAATGTACTAAGTGCTTTCTCATACAAGGGTCTGCACGTTAGGGCCCCTGGAGGAGGCACAGCAGGGACCTTGCCCATGCAGAAGCAGTGTCCAGTGTCAGAGTGCAGTGGCCGAGGCCACACAGGAAAAGGGCAGAGCTCAGTGCACAGCCTCCTCTGCAGAGCTTGGAGCCTTCTGCACAGTCCTATATTGCTGTCCCTTCCTCTTCCTGTTTCCTCGTGCGTCTTTTAATTGAAGGATCAATTTGTGAAAGAAAACTAAACCCTCCAAACAGTGGCATTTATCCTTGATAACCAACAAATACTCAGCCTCACCGTGTCGTCCCTATCCAAACTCCTCTTTCAACAAGTGCTTCTCCACTGAGCCTGTCAAACGTCAACACACAACACACAACAAAAGCTCTGCTGCCTTGGCTGCATCTGTGGAACGAGCCAGGGCCTGAACACACAATCACGTGAGCAACAGAAGGCACTGAGCACATGTGACACGGACATACCCCTCCCCCAGAGGCCATAGCTCAATTCCCAGCATCCTCAGGAGCACCACACTGCCCCCGATACACACCTGCTCACGTCGCCATGGACCATGCAGGCACACACCGCAGGCTTCAGTGGCAACCAGTGCCCTGGGGTGGTGACAGGACACAAGGGGTAGGGCTGTGTGAGCATGCTCGGCCCCTCCCCGCTCCTCCCTCATGCCGCCTTTCTGGGGAGCCCCACCACACACTTCCTGGTGCTGCGGGTCGCAGGGTGCCCCAGGCTGCAGCATGACTGCAGAGCACTCCACTGACAGGAGTTGCTCCTCCCTTCTCTGAAACCCACAGCAGAGCCCCAATTCATCCATGCACGGACCTCATTCCAGCAAGAGACTGGACGCTAAACTGCTGTGAGCCAGAAAAACCAGCAAAAGCTGGCCCAAGCAAAGACAAGGTGCGCCTGTCCTCTGGAAACAAAGAACTGGGGTGCAGACGCTGCCACCAACCTGACACACAGCACCCAGGATAAGATGGGGGGGCCCTCAGCTCACCCCTCCCCAGACACAAGACCTCCCTGTCTGGGCGTGTGCAAGGCCCCACTGCCAGGGACCGGACACATGACCTCCCTGGCTGGTTGCGGGTGAGGACCAGGGAAGTCCACTCCATTCAGAGACCATGAAGGTATGTCCCTGTCCTCCAGATACAAGCTCGCGGTTGCTTTTCTGGGCCCAGAAGAAGGACCTCACTTTGAGTCGGGCCAGGTATAGGGCACAGGAGCAAGACCACGCTGTGAGCCAGGCTGGGCACACCTCTGCACTACCACACTAGTGGGGGTGGAGCCCCCGCACTGGCAGACCCCAGCCCTGCTTCCAGAAGTGGGAACAGAGCCACCCTCCTCTGAAGGGCAGGTTGGGAAGCCCTGTCCTAAACGCCCCGTAGCAAGCAGGCCCAGTGGATTCGGGTGCTCTTGGGCTACAGCATGGCTCATCTGGAGAAGCCCTCCCTCTTCTCCCCCCAGCCACATGGGTAGCAGGAGGAGAGGACACAGAGCTGAGAAGCGTTCCCGACCAGAGCCTGTCAGCCCAGCCAAGGAGGCGGTGGCCACTCCTCACACCTGTAGAATGGCCTCATTCCCTCAAACCACCACAAAGTCCTTTCTATCTCCAGGCAGAGCCATGCTTCCCTTAGTTCTGGAACGCCTCTGCACCAGCCAAGTGCTGCCTGAGTGCCACAGAGAATGTGCCCAGCCCTCCCATCCCTAAAGCCACTTTTAAAGAAATTGAGAGCAGTATTGTTCTGGGACAATGACTAAATTGTTCCCAGTTGTTGTCTCATCCATATCTACTTTGATAGTGGTTTTTTAATGCAGTCTGTCCAAAGCATTTGGCATAACTTTTAAAGAAAAACTCTTTTTGCACCCATAATTCAGTTGTTTATGGAATTTTTAATTAAATTACATAATTACAAATAAAATTCAACTGGTATTAACAGGCTTGGGAAGGAAAGTAGATAACTCTTCATGAGCATAGAGCTTAGCAAGCTGGGGCAGAATTGAATAGGGGTTCTCCGGAGTCCCTTCCCAGCCTTGAGCATTTAGGGGGCTGTTGGCTGTCAGTGCACATCCACCTCTTGTCTCAGGGGCTGGGGAATGTCAGAGAAAAGAGCTTCTACTAGACTTAGTTTCTTTGACAGGATTGGGTCAATCATTCCCACAGTCTACCAGTACCAGGATTCTATGCAAACAGGAATTACTAGTACTGGACTGTTAGGATTCACTGACAGAGCTATCTTAGGGTCCTAAAGTTATACCCCATGGGTGACTCTATTTATGCTCTATAAGTCACTGCACAACCCATTGCCATCAAGTTGATTTCAACTCATAGCGCCCCCTTGGATTTCCAAGGCTGTAAATCTTTACAGAAGCAGACTACCAATCTTTTTTCTATGGAGTGGCTGGCGGGTTTGAACTGCTGACCTTCTGGTTAGCAGTCAAATGCCTTACCTACTACACCAACAGAGTTCATTATAAAATCCTTGCAGGCCTGCATATTTATTGAAATGTTCCCGGAGGACAGTCGAAATGAATGGAAAGAATCCCAGTGCCGCCTCTTACCTAGTTAACTAGATCTGTAGTTTAACCTCTCCGTTTCCTCATTTATAAAACAGGAATAATGATAACATCAGCCTTGCCAACAACAATGTGCTGGCAAATGAAATAAAGTATGTGAAGATATTTCAAACTATAAAGCACCTCTTATTAACTGTGACTGAAAACCAACAGAAAACATAGGTGCCCCTGGTCAGGAACTCTACAGTTTATACATTTGGTCAGTAGCTAGTAGACTTTTTAATACATATTCTCATTTGAGTGCCATGCCAACTTTTGTGTTGCTTATTCTTTCACCTGGCATGGGACTAACAATAGTTCATCTCTTCCAGTCTGTGGATGGAGACCTGATCAGACCTGAAGGGAGCAATCCGACTCTCTAGTGGGCTCAGTACTAGCTCTAGCTAATGATCTCTGCTGCTCTGACCAGGTTTCCTTATTTGTGACATGAGGCAAGCAGCCATATGCGGGTGAAAAGATGTCATTTTTCGATGCTGACATTCACAAGCACTTCAGAAATATAACCTGCCCTCAGCCAATGGAGCATGTTATTTTAATAGCTGTACAATACATTCTTGAAATCTGCTTTCCCCTGGATGACTAGACTAAAGTTGAGTCATTCAGGAAATTACTGAAGAGAACAAAAAGTGTTTATAACAGAGAAAAAAAGAACCTTTCAGTATGAGACATCATGGGTGAAGAACAGTGGCTGAGTGGGAGTTTCTCAAAACTGTGTTGAGTGGAGAAGTTTTGTGTATTCTGAATGTACTCCATATTTCAACAGTCCCTAAGGACAAAGCAGCAATGCAATCTAGTGATGTATTATTACTATTTTAAAATAGGTTGGGCTATGTTTTAGCTGGTAGGGGTATGTGTCTGTCTGTCTGTGTCTGTCTTATTTTAGGCTAACATATCAAACAATAATCACATTTTCTTATCATCTATTGAGAAAATTCACCTCTTTCTGAACATCTTCCCTGAGGGAGTGAGTTGGTGGGACCCTGGGCTCAGGACCATGGTTGCGGGGGACATTGGGCTCAATTGGCACAACATACTATACAAAAACATTGTTCTACTACTTTGGTGAGTACCGACTGGGGTCTTAAAAGCTTGCAAGTGGCCACCTAAGATGCAACAATGAGTCTCTCCTTGTCTGGAGCAAAGAAGAATGAAGAAAACCAAAGATGCATGGACACAATTAGTCCAGGGGACTAGTGGACCGTGCAGACCTCAGCCTACATGACCCTGAGACCAGAAGAACTAGATGGTGCCCAGCTACCAATCAACCACGGAAAGGGATCAGTTCAGGAGATCCTGGATAGAGTGGGAGAACAATGTGAAACAAAACTCAAAATCATAAAAAAGACCAGGTTTACTGGTCTGATAGAGCCTGGTGAGATCCCCAAGACTATGGCCCCTAGATACCCTTCAGGTCTGGAATTCAACTCACTCCTGTGGCTTCCAGCCAAACAATAGACAGGCATATAGGGTAAACATTTACATCAGGTAGATATACTCCTTAGAATGATCAATTATGGGAGATCAGTAGGGGAGTATTTGCACAGGGAGATAGCTCAGGGGCAGGAATGCATAGGAAGGAAGGGCACAGGGAAGAACTACAGGGAAGAAGTGGGAAAAGAGCTGTTACATTGTAGGGAATTGCAGTCAATGTCATGAAACAAAATGTGCATCAAAATCACAATTAAAAGAAAAAAAATAAAAAAGACCAGGCTTACTGGTCTGATAGAGACTGGTGAAACCCCCAAGACTAAGGCCCCCTAGTCACCCTTTGAGCCTGGAATTGAACTCACTCCTGTAGCTTCCAGTCAAACAACAGACAGGCATATAGGGTGAACATTTATACCAGGTAGGTACACACTTTAGAACGATCCACCATGGGAGAACAGAAGGGTAGTATTTGCACAGGGAGAGCTCAGAGGGCAGGAACAGATAGGAAACAAGGACACAGGGAAACGGTAACCACAGGGAGGAAGTGGGAAGAGAGCTGTTACATTATGGGATTGCAGTCAATGTCATGAAACAAATATGAAAGGACTGCTGTGTGGAAAATGAATTTGCTCTGCAAACCTTCACCCAAATCACAATAAAAAAAAAAGAAAAGAAAAGAAAAGATGCTATACATACATCTCAAAATGTTATACCGTGCTACATTCAGAGAAGGATGAGGACTGTGAGAATAGAAAGAGCAGAAAACACTGCAAAATGCAACCCTGTAGAGTTTTCTCTGCTGTGAATGGGAGAATGGCACGGAGGAGGTTATCGATTCTGGCAGGAGCTCCTGGAGACCTTTGAAAACTAAAGATAGAAGCAGAGGGGGATCATCCAAAACAAATCCGCATCAGAGGAAACGCCCAAAGCCTCTGCATTGTTCAGAAAACTCACAGTGGGCTAGAAAAGGAGAGGCAGAGGGAGGACGAGAAAGGGAGGAGAGATAAGAACAATGGTTATGCAAAGCAAAACTGGATAGGGATTGTCAGTACCCAGGGCTGGCGGCTCTCAGAATGCAATCCCTTGGGGCAAAGAAGACGGGCATCCCATTGTAAACCACACAGGAGTAGCTGTGGAGGGAACATTGTTTCCAGAATCCTCCTGGCTCAGAGCCTGGAGCCAAGCAGAACAATACAAATAATTAAGGCAGTAGTGGGATTAATTTACAAGGAATTCTTTCTGCTTTTCTTCACCTGGTGAGATCAAGTGCAGTATTAATTTCACATCAGATAGGTCTTCTATCAGGGAACTCTATCCTGTTCTGGCAAAAGTTGATCTAGTAGATTTTTTCCATTCCCAACTTGGAGGATGTAACAAATTATGTATAACTTGGGAAAGTGATGCACCAGGTCTGCTGTGTCAGGGGCATATTTGAAAATATTTAAAATGAATAAACACACTGCAAAAATAGAAAGTTAAAAAAATAAAATGAATAAATATCATGAAAGGAAAAGAAATACAAGGGATTGCATTACAAAAGGATAAAAGAATAGCCTGCTTCCTTTGCATTTATACAAGACTATATACAGAAAAAAAAAATCAACCTTATATCAACTCCAGGTCATTCATTTTTTCTTGTGTTTGTTCATTCCTTGCTAAAAAGTTAGCTCATTGTGGAAGAACAATGTGGAACAAAACTCAAAATCATAATGAAAGATCAGGCTTGCTGGTCTGGTAGAGCCCAGAGACCCCTGAGACTATGGCCCCTAGTTACCCTTCAGGTCTGGAATTGAACTCACTCCTGTGACTTCCAGCCAAACAATAGACAGGCATATGAAGTGAACATTTACATCAATAGATACACTCCTTGAAATGATCAATCATGGGAGAACAGAAGGGCAGTGTTTGCACAGGGAGACAGCTGGGGTGGGGGCGGGGCCGGGAGTGCATGGGACAGAAGGACACAGGGAAGAGGTAACTGCCGGGAAGAAGTGTGGAGAGAGTTGTTACATTGTGGGGAATTGCAGCCAATGTCATGAGACAAAATGTGTATGAACTGCTGTATGGAAGATAAATTTGCTCTGTAAACTTTCACCCAAATCACATTAAAAATTAAGGAAAAACA